TTGAATACCATTTATATATGTGTATACAATTTTCAGCGAGAACGAAAGATTCAATACCAAAGCCACTCACTAGCTTAATGCATACACATTTAAATTCATTCACTTGGAAAAATGTCTTCTTGCATAATTTGTGCTCTTGTGTTTTATGTTAAGTTGTTTTTGACACCGAAGTACTTTAATGTGTTCGCCTTGTGTTCATCGTTTTTCACGCCCTTCATACTTCACCTCCGTTGCCGTTGTTACCGCCGTCGTCGTCATTTTCTTCACCGCTACTGATGTACCAAAGAATTGAATATTCTTTCTCTTTCACTCTCTTCCTCTGCCATGTAAACACACACACACATACACAGAATAAAATTGCGAATACCGTTGTTGTTAACTTGCACCGGCTATAGGCAAATGCAAAGGAATGCTTTGTATTGTCTCTTGTTCGCATCAGTTGCTTGTTTGTGCTTAAATGTTCATTGTTGCTTGGCATCAACAGCAACAGCAGCGGCGGCATCATCATCAACAACAACAGCAGAAGCATCCTGAGTAAGTGACAAAGAGAAAACAAACAAAAAAATGTGCATTACTTGGATGTAGCAAAGCAGCTAAAATAATGGGACACATAGCACATTATAACATTCATATTTAATAAAGTACCTCCACTTTGGTCTTATCAATATTCTATAAAAAAAAACCCTTCAACAGAGATTACACTAGCGCGCGCACACACATAACTCTCGGCACAACGGCATTTCATGTACAACATATTTTATTTTCACATTTATGGACTCATGCATTTTAAAATTGTTGCAGAGCACATTATAAAGAGAAAATAAAGGGAAAATGTATACGTGTTTGTGTGTGTGTGTGTTTGAGTGTGTTGGCAGTGTCGTTGCAACGAAACATGAAACTGAAAATATTTGGTGTTGCTGAAATAACGATAATGAAATCTTTGTGTGACATAAACAGACAAAATGAATGTGCTAAAGAGAATTGCGCGCATCGTACATCGTCTTCAAAGAGCAATTCAATGCCACTTTTGCTCCTTGTTATATTAAAATGAAGGCGATAAATGATTTTTTTCGTTTCATTCTTATCTCAACCGTTGTAGTTGAGATAAAATGCACACTACCGTTATTTCAACTTCAAATGTAACATTTCAAGAGGTATTGTATCGTCCAGACATGAGCACACACATACCCACCCACCCAATAACTTGAAACAACAACCGATCAATCGAGAAAATACTTCGATTTTTAATGCATATTCGATGATGCGACAAAGCCGACGACAAAACAAAGTGCATACATAAACATATGTTTTCAATTATCGAGACTCAAAGTTTTACTCCTTTGCAATATACGCAATTATACATGCAATCATATAACACACCATTTGTGTAACGAAAATTGATTTAACGCGACCTTTTTCATTACTGAAAATGTGCGATGGTGCATTCCGCGTATCAACAAAAACACACACACACTCACATACGAGCATCAAGCATAGCACATATATAGCTCTTGACATGCAAACACTGCAATACACTTCACACACCGAATTCCCTGCGATCATGTAAATGCATAACGATGCATAACGGTTATATTACGTAGCATGTCTGGCAGAGACAGATATTTTGGATATCGATTTCGTTTCAGTTTAATAAGTGAAGGCACATTGAGGCAAAATACTGTTACAGTATAGCGGATTGAGGTTGACGAAGTTTGTCTTTTCGGAGATGTATGGGCTCGTAAATCCTGTGATTGACATAGATGGCAAAAGAAACAAAAATTACACCACATATGTATATGCATGATAACAAGAGAATGTGTGACGCAGTAACACACACACACACTCCACTCACCCATCACATATCGGCTTCTAATCAAAAATGCCTACCATACAAGTAACACCAAAAGTTGTCTAACTGGGAGAGAACATTTCTTTTTTTCTTCTTCTTGGCATTCAGAGTGGTGCTGGTGCGACGATGAAATTATCTAAAACTTTTTGCTAAGTGTGTCAACTTCAACATCGAAGTGGAAAACCTTAATTTATGGTATACACAGCAGCATTTTGAAGTTGAATTCCACTGAGCTTTACCCAAACAAAATTCTAATTTGGGCTGTGAAAAACACTTATGCATTCATTACTTCAACTCAAGCGCGTTTCAAGTCCATGCATCCCGAATCTCTGTGAACATCCAACACAAAACGTACATGGCTCAAGAAAATAGATGAAGAAGTGAGCTAGAGAGAGAGAGAGCTGAATGAAAAGGAGAAGAAGACGAGAAAAAAAGAATCACCAGTGAGTGAACACATCACAAGCATTTTTATTGCTTTTTCATGAAATATGTGTATAATGCAGATTTAAAATTTATGCGCCTCTTTTCAACTAGGACACACCACAAAAATAAACCATAGAAACGCTTTTCCTACGTGTTTCATTTCGTTCATTGAAAATGTGAACTTTTTCATCTACTCTCATTTCTTTACTTTTCTCCTTTTTTTATCTCGTTCTCTCTCGCTCTCGCTCTCGCTCTCTAGCAATCTTTCCTTATTTTTGTCTCTGTTTCTCACTTACCTCGGCTCTGCCGTTCTTCTTATACAGTCTTCTTGAGAAAACAAATATGGAAAAAAATTTGCCAAGGCACTCTCACTCGCATTTTGGGTTTATAGCTGCCAAATTATTTCCTTCGTATTGAATACGTAAGACATTTTACGGTGTGCATGTGTTCGTATGAGTCTCAACCTCTCTCTCTCTCCCCGTCGCTCTATGTGACATGCTTTGCCAAATGTGCAAAGGTGTTTGCTGGTGTCCAAAACTCGGTAAAAACACATTCTTCTCGAATCGTTTTAGTTCGGCAAAGATTTTATGATGCAAAAAGATGTGGTTTTTACTTTACGCAATATAGAACATAACGATCTTTGGTTCTTGCCTCAATGTCGTTTACTTGTTTGCTCGTTCGTTTCAGTGAAATGGCTTCTGCTTCGGTTTGCATTTTGTCGCGCCGTTCGCAGGTGATCTAAATTTTTTGTTTGTTTGTTTGTTCGTTTTTCTTCCTTCAACTGATTTCAGTGCAGCATCCAATGAATGCAATGTTAGAATCGTTCATGCATATGATTGGGCAATGAGCGTATTTTCCATGAAATACGATTTCATTTTTCGCTTATTGAATTTTTTTTTGGCCATTTGTTGCACATGAGTGACATAACGAACAAAAAAAAGTTCGCCACTTAAAAGCGCAAATGAATCATATTCAGCAATATCTAACAATTGCCATAGAAATCTCGATGGATAATGGCAATTTAACAAGAGCGAAAAATATGAGGATGAGGAAATGTGATATAGCCATTGCTTATGGAACGTGCGATGGAATAACTCGATTTTCAACTTTGTGATTAATAATTGAGATGTGGAAAATTGATTGAGCTTACCAGATTATGTTGCTCGAATTCAAGGCAAAATGCAAACAAATGTGGCAAATTCATGCATACACATACGCTAGCACAACCCATTAAAAATAACTTAAGGTAATGAATGTACAATAGATCCGTTTAATTAAGTTGATTTCAAGGGGGGTTGACGTATATGAGATTGGAGACTTTTTTTTGCGAATCTCGCTAATGAGCGCCATCTGATTTTAGTGTGAATTAGATGCAAAAATCAAATTTATTTCAATAATTTGGAATGTATTTGAATGTTATAGTTTCAACACAAAAATTGTATTAAAAATCATTCAAGTAAATCAAATTGAAATTAAATCAATTAAAAATCATTGTACACACACATAAAGCATATAAAATAATACAACTAAATTATAAATACTCACACCATTCTATGGGAACCTAACAAAATCGTATTATTTCAAATTAGAATTATTTTTATTTCATATAAATGATTCTATTTATTTTTTCAAATTCATTCTATTAGAATTATAAATAAATAAATTTCTATTTATTACAGAAAATAATGATTCATTATTAATGAAACAGAAAAAATTCTCCACAATGTGAAAATACGAAGTTACGTATATATTATGACAGCTGTGGTTACGTATACGTCGACATTAATAATCTGTCAAAACCGTAAACACATTATTTTCATAACGCAATTTTGCGATAGTTCCTATTAGTTGAAAAAAATTAAATTTTTGTGTGCAAACTGTAAGTTATTTTGTGATTTTATTGTGTTTAGATTGAATACGATTTCATAAATTTTTGAAAAGTGATTTTACAGTAACAAGAAATGTAAAGCAGAGAGAAAAAAAACCAATAAATGAGTTTAGAACGTTTAGAATCATATGCACATTTTCGTGATATTCTAACCTCAATCGCTCTTTACTCTCAGTTTTACATTCTTTATATCAACAATTATTTTATAATTTAAACAGGAAACGCAAAATGGTTTAGTGCGATGTATGCCAGCAGAATATTTCGGGAAACATTTACAAGCACAAAAGAGTTGAGCACAGTTGGGATCGAGGTGGTATTAAATTGATTAAACAGGAAGATAAAACTCTGATCGAAGCTATACAAAACGAAAAAACATTCGTTGGACCTTCGCTGTTATATTTGAAACGTCTCGCAAATTATGCGGTAACACAAAATTTTCAAGCCACATTTTTTGGAGTCGACTCACCAAAACCAGAACTTGTCATTACAACGGGTACAATTGCAGAGAATGAAAATACAATCCCGGAGATGTCTGATGTTGATACACCTGAGCATTAGTTCTCTCGCAAAATATGCGTAAATTACTTACTTTTATGTTTAATTAAATAAATATAAATGATTGGAAAATGTCTCTTAGCTACATATTGATATCAAACAAAAATAAAAACACTATAGTACTAAAACACTGCTGAATTTCAATTTATTCATTTGGATTTATTTATGGTTCTCATATATTTGGCGTTCTTCACAATCCATGCTTGTAAAAATATAAAAAATTGTGAATTCAATGAATATTTCAACCCGCTTGAAAGCGAACAAATGAAAAGAGATTTGTTTCCATTTTTTACATAAAAAATTAATATTTATTCATGGTATTTAATTATAAATGTAATTGGTCGCATTTTGCGTGAAAAAATGAACATATTCATAAACTAAATATTGAATAGCGATCGTAGTTCATTGACCGATTTGGCCATAGAGTTGATCCACAATTTCAGCCAAATTTCTTTCATTCTCTGCAATTGTACCCGTTGTAATGACAAGTTCTGGTTTTGGTGAGTCGACTCCAAAAAATGTGGCTTGAAAATTTTGTGTTACCGCATAATTTGCGAGACGTTTCAAATATAACAGCGAAGGTCCAACGAATGTTTTTTCGTTTTGTATAGCTTCGATCAGAGTTTTATCTTCCTGTTTAATCAATTTAATACCACCTCGATCCCAACTGTGCTCAACTCTTTTGTGCTTGTAAATGTTTCCCGAAATATTCTGCTGGCATACATCGCACTAAACCATTTTGCGTTTCCTGTTTAAATTATAAAATAATTGTTGATATAAAGAATGTAAAACTGAGAGTAAAGAGCGATTGAGGTTAGAATATCACGAAAATGTGCATATGATTCTAAACGTTCTAAACTCATTTATTGGTTTTTTTCTCTCTGCTTTACATTTCTTGTTACTGTAAAATCACTTTTCAAAAATTTATGAAATCGTATTCAATCTAAACACAATAAAATCACAAAATAACTTACAGTTTGCACACAAAAATTTAATTTTTTTCAACTAATAGGAACTCTCGCAAAATTGCGTTATGAAAATAATGTGTTTACGGTTTTGACAGATTATTAATGTCAACGTATACGTATACGTAAACACTTTCTCCACATTGTGGAGAAAAAAACAGATATGTGGCATACCAAGAGATGGTGTTGTATGTTATGAATCTTTTTTCATTGTTTGACATCAGGGGGGGTTGGTTGATTTCAATATGTGCAGAGCCGATTTTGTTTGTTTTTCCCATTCAATGCCTTTTTTGCGATCCGTTTTCTGAATATCGAATGGAGAATGATGACCCAACAAAACCCAGCAGAGACTGGGAAGGGACCGAAAAGAGCATTATACCAGTATGTGTAGCATCCATAAAATTTCTTCACAACGAATCGTCGGTGTTTTTCTTTCTCCGTAATTTTTCGGAAAAGTATATCGATATTGTTGGCGTTGTGTTCTTTTCGGTTTTTCATTGCTTTTAGAAAATTCTGCATTCACTGTACTGGATCGAATTCATTGCAATTTATTCAACTGGCTGTACAGGATGTTGAATATATTGGTTTGATTATTGGATTTCCGTTATGAATACAATCTATAGTTGTGTCTTTCGTGCCACTACTTTTTTTTAGTTATTACTCAAAATCATGAATTTTGTTTTCTACGGAAAATATGTACATCCATCCATCCATCTATCTGAAAATCTTTATTTTTTCGGTTGGCATTTGTTTACACGATTCATCTGTTCAAAAATTGAGAAATCGCATCAAGCTGAATATTTCTGGCTGAATGCATTTTTCCCAGGGTAAATTCTGGTTATTTGAAAAGTTTATTCAGCTTCAAATAAAAGAATAATTACTTTGGAAGATTTGGATTTGAGGTAGAATTGGGTTGTGTTTGTGTATGTTTGGTGGTATGATAAAAGCGATAAAAAAAAGAAAAAGTATCTCGCTCGAGCGAATCATGATATGCAAAATGTATGTCTTTCATAAAAATAAAAATGCGCTTTTTTTCCCTACCATTATTTAAATTCCGATATGGTTTTTATTTTCGTTGCGTTTTTGAATGTGCTGGCTGCTGCCGCCAATCACAAGACGTTTTAATTCCATTTCGGTTGGGAATTATTTTTTCTGGTTTCGTTCCGTTCCATTCCGTTTCATTTCGAACAATGTAACGAACATTTGAAAATTTGCAAATTTCCATTCTGCGTACTTTTCTTCATCATCGAATAACAACGACAACGGGCGACGACTATTGATATTGCCGAGCGCAATGTATAGTTGCAAACTGTTTCCGTAATGCGGTTTATGTTGTCTCGTCTTCCTCAGTTCTACCTATTATTTCCTGTATATGTGCATGTGCACTTTTCCGCAACGGAAGCTTTGCCAAAACATTTAAATATCGATTTTAGTTCTTACTACCATACATAACATTAACTAACAATTTATGCGGATAACATGTGTGTGAGTGAGTGTGTATACGAGTAAATGCAACAAAAGGGCTTTATTCGATACAACTTATAAGACATTCTCAATATGCCACCGTCATGCACACATACTACACACACATCATACAATGTGCACGACATAATATTGCAACAAAATGCACATGGTTTTTAGTGTATCACAATTTCAGTGTTTCTCTTTCACCTTCTCGATTTTGCTCGCGAATTCACTTACTTACTCGCCATCTCTCTCCCTCTCTCTTGCTCGCTTACTCTATCGCCAATGGTGTTGTTGCTGGCACATAGACGAGCCGAAACATTGAAATGACATAAGCCAAAAGCTGAATGTTTTCAGGTCATTTATTTTATTGATTTTTGTGTATTTTATTCGATTTAATTAAATTGTGAACAACCGTTTCGAACCGTATGCACATTTCGGCCGAAATCGCATATAGTTCAGTGCTCAACTCAACTATTTGAACTTATTGCCAATCCATATTCATTCATCCTCCAATGCACGCTAACGGCAATAACGACCGAAATGTTACGACTACTATTGTTGCCTGCTTCCGCGCCGAAATATCTACATTACATTCCAAAACTTCGATCGTTCCGTTCCAGTCTCTGTTTCTCGTTACAATGAAATATATGACGAGCGCGCGCTCGTGTGTGCGTGTGTGTGTAAGTATATATAATTTTTTTTTTCGTTCATGTTCATTTTTTGATAATTTTATTATCCCTTGCAATTTCTTACCGCCATCATGCAATGCATGCAGCAGCGATAACAGGTCTGGGCTTTCGACACCGATAAATTGATGGACAAGTTAATTGAGATTTCATCGTAATACGTAAAATATTCATGTCAAATGCGACACAACATCGTAATCAAATTAAAGCAACTGGAGAGCACAGCAGGAAGCTCATTCGAGCTGAGAAGCTTTGGTTCGTATTCGATTCATCTGCTTGTATGTTTGTGCACATATATCTCGCTCTCCTGTTTTTTTTTTTACTCTCTCGGTGTTTTGAATCAAGTATGCAAGCAATGAAATGAATTGAACGCAACCCACATACATACACAAATACATGTTAAAGCTTGAGTGGTATTACACGTGTCACACAATGTATGCCAAATTCCAGCATAATCCCAATGATACTTAACCACTTTTAAACACACAAGTCGTATGTACTTCAGAGTATACACATTCTCTACCTCTCTCTCTATCTCTGTGTCTCTCTCTCTGACTCTCCCTTTCGATGTCAAATCAATGAAATGCTACTGTAGTACGAGAGCCAGAGCTATCGTCCGAAAATTCATTGCCTCATAGCTATAAATTGTTGAACAAACACACATACAAATGAGAGAAGCACACATCAAACAGAATGAATGACAAAAACCTAGATATAAAACAATCGAGAGAGATGGAGAAAAATATCGAAATCTGCACAATAGTGACTATTAGCACAAAATGCAAAGCAGTCATAAATTCATCGGGTTTTACCAATTTGCCCAGAAAAGTAATCAAATAACAAAGGCGTGAAACCATAAAACAATAAAACTCAGTGAGACATTTCAAATGAATCGCCGACCGAATGAACAAGAAAAACACACACGCACAGAATGAGAACGAAAGTCCGAAGAGGAGAAAAAAAAGACAATTTTAATAAGAAAGTGACGACATTTTCATAGCGACAACGATTTATCAAATGAAGCGATAAATTATCTAATAAAAGTCATAAAATTCATGAATTTCATTTCGTGGCACTTTTTTTTGTTTCATGTCATTTGCTGCATCAGGTGAAAGATCTATGTTATTATATTATTAGATTGATTTTATTTTCTTTTATTCATCATTGATCGTTTGATTTTTCCTGTTCTCCTTTTCTCGACATATTTCTTACACATGTGGAAAGGTAAACGATTCAAAGATACACGAAATTGACATCAGAGCAAAATTGACACAACACATGTACATAGTGTGGATACTGTGGATTGTACCTGTTCGATAAAATCGTCTATTGCAACGACAGAGAGATGACAGCATTTTGGTAGTGGTCAACGTGTTTTGAAATGCAATCGAAAATGTTCTAGAGATAACAATGCACGTACAAATCAAATTGAGCACTGGATACGTTTAGAATAAATAAAATTCGATATTGGTTAACGACTTTACTTGGGCCACCCTGAGCATGGCTTGTTTTATGAGAGACTGTAACATCATTTTTAAATTGTGTATTTGAAGAAGGTGGAATTGACTTGATTTTTAGTCTCTTCTGTTTACTATGTCGCTTGCATGTACGCTGTTGTTAAAGCAACACGCATCAAAACTTTGAATTTTAACATTTTGATTCTCAAAACTGAATATTCCACCCACTTAATCATCATGTACAAATGAAAATGAAACATCGAAAAACCTGCAGTCTCTTTAACCCACTAAAATATATGAGTGCGGATTACGAAAGCAACGTTTGGACCGGTCGTTCATTCGTTTGTTCATTTTGAAAACAAAAAAAAAGGTTTTATCCAGAGCAATTATCGTATATAATGTTTAAAGAAAAAGCCAAGCTCACGCACTTCAAAGGGACACACACACGCTAACACCAACGGGATGAAAATTAAACGGCAAACGTTAAAACACTGAAAATGGTCACAAACTAGCCAAAGGATAGAAATGCGAGAAACGAACAGCTCTTAAAGAAATACAACAGAGATGGAGAAAAAATATGGATTTCGAATATACTAAATTAAACTTGAAATTAGATTTTAATCGGTTGATCCTTTTTTCGAGTGCGGTAATTGTGCTCTGTAGAGAAACACACATCGAACGAATCAGAAAGAGAGAGAGAGAGAGAGAGAGAGAGAGAGAAGAGAGTAAAAAGCAGCGGAGAGTGTGAGTTTTGATTCGAAGAAACACACGGGCATTGAAAAAAGAAGAGACATACCGTGCACGTTCGTTGTTTTTCGAGGAAAAACAATCGGACAGAAATTACGATAAATGCTATTTAATGTGACCGTAAAATGTGAAATGGTAAAACGAAATATACTAAATAGGCATTAAAGTAATAATAACGGGTTGATTGTTTTTGATATTCCTGTGTGCACATTCAATGTGTGTTTTTATGTGACCATTTTAATGGATTTTGAACGTTTATTTGCTTGCTAGGTCGCGCGCCCGCACCCGCTACAATTTCAATTCACCTTCTTTTGTTCGGAATTTGATTCCTTTTTTATATGTTTACTTTCGTTCTCTCCCTCTAACTCTCTCGCTCACTTCACTGATTAAGGTTCGAATTGCATGCACGCCTTGTTGTCCCCTTTTGATTGAGGAGACCTTGTTTTACATTGATTTATTTCTCTTAGAACCAGAAATCACCGATCTTATCATTGTGTGTATTTCTATCTTTTCTTTGTTTCTTTTTTCTTTTGACCGCTTCTAATTTCGATGCATCTAAAGAAATCGGGGAATCGACAATATCTCTCCCATTCTCTATCTCGTTCTTTTTTGGTTTTGGATATGAAATGGACGCGACCAATGACATCAAACACATTTATCAACGTTAATTTATCGATTTCCTCCAATTTATCACATTAGACTTGGATTTTGATGAGGAAGAGAAGGAAGAGCTCAAAATACAGAACAACATCAACGAAAAAAATAACATACAACG